ACCCCCCCCCCCCCCCCCCGGGCCAAGATTGCAGCGCAATATAGGAGGTTTAGGCGGCACGCTTGCAGCAGTCTATTGTATAGGATTCAGTGTGTCCATAGTAAAACCGATATTCTCTTCATTGAATAGACTTTCGTGCCGCATTCTACAACCCATGAAATTCTCTTCATTTGTAGGCTTCGTGTCGTCATACTAATTCCTACACCATGCACTAGACCTCGCGACCAAGGTCGACGCGTATTCTTGGGGTGTTTCCATAATTTCCACTAGCTCTCTGTGTGGGATCCCGCGCGCGTGCGCTGAAAAAAGCGCCCGAAAATGTCGAAACCCTGGGGATTTTGTCGAAGTGTCCCCATCCGGGGACATATAAGGCCCATCCCCCCCGCCCCCCCCCCGCGACCAAGATTGCAACGTAGCCCAGGGGTGTTCCGACGTTTCCAGATGGAGGGCCCCTTGGAAAACGCAAAAAGGCGTGAAATAATATTATAATGTGAGACGTTAACGTTTCCTTGGTTTTCGTATACAACCAAGGCAACAACATGTGTGCAGTTGTAGCAGATGCATGCAACAAGAAAATCTCTCCGCCTACGAGCAACGCAATTGGAATCATGTCGAGAGGGAGCAATGCAATCGTGCCGAAAGGGAATCAGTCTTTCGTATAGGCGCTTTCAGAGCGCGGGACTCTCCATTGCTGTATTTGTACATTTGTACGCTTCGGCCCCCGCGAGACACACCGGCGGTCGAACAATGTTTTTGTCGACGAGCCGTATCACACGATTGGGCTACCTTCCTCAATTCTGGTACAGGGATGCCAAGCAAAGGCGGGCATTTCGGAGCAAAATGTTGCATGCAGTCTACACCAGCCGGCTGGGAGGAGGCGCAATTAGCCTTCGGTACCATCGCCTAGACTGGAGGGTTGGCGATGTTCTGTGGGCAGCGGTTCTGCACGACTATGCGTCGATGCGACGGTGTGTGCACTACAGCGCTGTTCCTGACCAGCTGAGGAGGAAGTGATCCAGTCGTGCTCAGTGTACAGGATAGTCCATCCGCTTGGCCTTGGGGTGCTCGGGATGATGTGTGGTAGGCAACAGCACCCAAAACCTGCCTGCTGCACAGAGCGCTCGAGACGCAAGCCAACCACCGAGAAAAAAAACGGCCTTGCTCTGCTGTTCTTGCACTCACCCCATTCCGATGAAGAACGGCTTGAAGCCATCACGCCTGATCTCGTGCGAGATCAACTGCCGCCAGGGGAGCTTGTGCCAGTGGACCGGAGGCATGCTGTATCACTACTTTCCTCCCACTCTGCCCTGCTCGTCTCTCTCCGGTTTGTTGTGTGCCCGCCGCAACGTTTCCCCAGGGGGGCACACAGACAGCAGCAAGGTTTCGTGTAGAGAAGGTGGGATTTTGTGAAACCGAAACGCCTCAAATCTCGTCGATTTCTCTCGGCAGAACTGCTTGATCGCGAGAACACGTCTTACGGCACACAAATACAGGTCAACACCATCAGCGCATAACGGACGATCCAGCTCACTGAGCCAGCGCGCGACATGCGTGGAGGCTAGTGATGCGAACCACAGGCGGAGGGGCATCATCAATTGGACGGGGCGATCGACGAGTGCGTCCTTGGCGGATACCCCCCGACATCCACGCCACATGCTCACTGGTGAGGGAGCAGCGCAGGAGCAGCAGGAGCAGCATCATAGGGAACCTTTTCGAGTGGGAGAAGTTGTTGAGAGGGATATTGACGGCGTCTGGTTCCCTGCTCAGGTGAGCGACGTGTGAGACAGAGAAGCAATGCGTGCAGCTCTCGTTTGTGTCGTCACTGTCGTTTACGCAAACATTAGATGGCAGCGGCAGCGGATTTAACTGCGTCAATAGGATCCGCTCTCTGGCTGAGGTTTTCAAATAGTAGGGCTTCCTATGCATGCGAGAGACAGAAAAAGATCGCGTTGGAGAAGTTCAGGAGAGATTGGACCAACATAGCCACTAGACTCTATTATGAGCCAGCTCCGAAGCGTATAGACAGCTTGTTACTTACAAGTTCAACCAGGCACCTACATGTAATTATCGAACGTATTTTGCAGAATCACGCACGTCTTCGAGGAGATTATGGCAACGCATACCCTGTCAAATGACTGTAGAGAAGCACAATGACCACTAGACTACCGGCCAACGCTGACTAGTCCAAAGTGGTCATCGTGTATCTCGAGAGTCGCAAGAGTTGGCCATGTCGCCAAGTCCCGCCGGCATCCAGGCGACCACGTATATGTCCGCTGACGGACCCTGCAAGTCTCCCTATCAAGGGAGGACAAGCTCCACAAGGTCCTGTCGGGAGCGGAGACTGCTCCTACCGATCCCGGGCTACATAGAGGTACGACGACCCAGGTTTCCGCGTGCCAGCAGACCTTGGAGGAGTACCAGGACAAGAATTATCTTCACCCGACTCATGGTGGTACGTGTCGGGGCCAAGATCATCCAGTTTATGTCTTGGTACTCTTCCAGAGCCTTCTGGTACACGGAGACCTCGGGTAGCTCCAGTTCCGGGATCATCAGGGGCAGTCTCCGCTCCCGACATGACCTTGTGTAGCCTCCCTATGTACAGTAGGGGGGTTTGAAGGGTTCGCCAGTCAACGCAGTCGCCTGGACCTCGCTGAACTTGACGAACCCTGCACGGATCTCGCTGGTGGTCATGATGACCTTGCGACTCTGGTGTGAAAACTCTTGCAACACGAGTCTATTATCGCAACTGCATTGTCACAGCACAGCAGTCGCCGTACAGCTATCTTCTCAGCTGCAGCTACAAAGTAACTGCGTGTGGTGCAAGAACAGTACGTAGGTTGTACAGTGCAAGATTCTTGACTGTACAAGCCTATATTAATTGTGTTGTGTTTTTAGACTGACTTTCTTGAGGCAAGTTTCTTTAAAGGGTGGCGCGTACTATAGACAGCTCCATGTGTACTAGCAAGCTTGCCAATGAGAAGCCTTGACCACAGGCTCGTCGCGATGACCTATGAAACGCAGTGGACACATCACGTACAGTTTTGGTTTGATACTAGAACAACTTGCACACGGCACCCAAACCAGGTAGTTGGCGTTCACGAGAAGACGTACGAAGCAGGACGATCGGGTAGTTCCGGCTCCATCGGGCGACCGTGGCAGCTGGCGTACGACCTCGTCTACCTCGACGACAATAACCGGGAAAGCGAGGTGTGCGGCGTGAAGCGACGTTAAACACACCTTTCGTGGGAAACCATTTTCGAAAGAGACGTTTCGCGTCTAGGGCCGTATGCCCTGATCGTGTGGGCTGCATGGAGTTGTGTACTGTAGATCGACGTCAACTACTGTAGAGCAGCCCCGAAGCCGATCATTGGTTCACTTTGTTTTTCTTCTTCCTAACCGGACAACTTTTTACATCCTTGGAAGGAGAATGGTCACTATGTTACCCTCCCGTTGACTCTCCACTAGCTTGCAATGAGCATCCTACGTGGAAACACGTGGGTGAATCGCTTCACTCCCGACCGCATCGTCAGGTACCTGAGGAGGATGTTCGCGTCGTCCATGACTACCGTACCAAAACGAAAGAAAGCATGCTGTTGCTGCTGGGCACGGAGCACGAGAGGGGCGGTGACAGCACGGCAGCGCGGGGGCGTAGCTATAGTGGTGGTGACTCGAAGAGCCTTGATGCGCGGCAATATGTTGAGACCGGAGCAAACAGTACAAGTCGGGGACAGGTACGGTGAGGTTCGAAAGAAACCTAGGGAAAACGAACGCTTGCACGTGCGCCTCTTTTCGTCATGGGATCTGCTGATTATTGGTTTTCTTTCCCAGACGCCTGTGAACCTGGAACCAGTTCCAAAAACAAAACAAACTTGCAACTGTTTTGGCTGGTTTCTCTACCGCTGACGTACATTGTACGGGTGTTCGCCAAAGTACCGGTTGAAATTGGTTGTCTCATACCCGCACAATTTCTTCCCATTGATGGACATCCTCGTTGTATGGAAGAGGGGGAGATAATGCACGTCCACGACTGCGGCGACTCCAACTGTGATAGCCATGGCTATGAAGTCACGGGCACTCTAGGATACTCTTTGTGTAACGATTCACACTGGACCACCCTACAGAGTTGACGCCCGAGACGATGGGAATCCTCCATTTGTGAGAGGCTTGGGATCTTACATCTTTTGGAGGGCTACCGGTAGCCACATTCTACGCGAGCAACCAGCCTACGGGGCAGGAGTACCAACCCAGGCATCCAAAGTATTTGGTACATTTCTCAGTCTTTTCCCTCGGTTTCTCACCTGCTCCAAACTCTCAAAATGTTTTGGGCACAACAACAGCAACGATCCTCTAGCAGAGAACGCAGCCCTTCGCCATCGGGACTGTCGTCATTTTGTATTTTTGCAGGGGGAAGGGAAGGACGGAGGCGTCCACGACGAAGGCGACGACGGTCACGCGGGCCCCAAGGTCACGATACACTCCTCTCGGGGCACTTTCGACACCAAGGAGGACGGCTCCGCCTCCGCGTACATCATCAACGGCCCTGAGACCAACGTGGCCGCGGGGAGCGGGTTGAGAGGGATCCGTTGGCTGAGAGGGCCCTAGCATTGGGCCTTTTGTTTGACAAAGTTGGCCGTCTTGGTTTCCTGTCCAAGCAGCGCCCGCGTCTCTTCCGTGGTAGCCTTTGATGTTCTGCGGTGTGCGATGCTACAGTACCTTTGACGACGTACGTCATCGTCCCGTGCTGCCTGCTTAAGGTGTACCCTCGTCTTTGATCTGTTTAGTGTTTTCTCGAGCGTGCCGTGCTTCGTGGCTTAGCCTCGTCTTTGGCTTGGGCCGAGTGTTTTTATTTTCTTGTGGACCCTGCGTGCAAAATGACCGCTGCGGGCAGAGCTGGCCATACATAATGCGGGAGGCGTGTAGACTAAAAAGGCCTTGATGTTGGTGTGTTGACTTGTCGTGTTGACGTTTCGTTTCCCTTGACTTACTGTTTCGGACCAAGAACTAATCTTTGGGCATGTCTTGTGTGCTTCAAACCTCTAAGCCAGGAGGACAACAACGTGCTGTCGATGAGGAGCGGAAGAAAGAGTTATTTTTTCATTCGAACCCTTGACGACATGAACCCTGTGCAGATCCGTTTTACTAGACCAGAGCTGCACCGCGGGGTGTGTGTAACGTTTGGTACAGCTGAGCAGCCAGGGCGTGTACGGGTTCCGAAGAGGCCCGTCACGCTACTTGCAAAGCGCATCCACATTCATTCCAGACGGAGCCCGCCGGATTTATTGCTTTCTCGAATGATTACCTGATAGAGATTCTAATGGACGTGTGACAAGAACAAACCCCGAAGTAATGAATGAGTGCGTGCGATGTGCTTACCCGTTTGCTTTGGGATTACCATTGGTTCTCTCGACAGCGATACACTATGCGACGGCAAGCGAGTGAGACGTGCCCCATTTCTAGGGACCCCCTCTTATCCAACGAACCACCCGCGCTTTCGTCTCTCGTACACAAAAGATTGCATATTATATATATCTGAACCGTTTGGAGGGGTGACATTCAGGTGAGCGCCCCCAAAGGTCCCATCAAAGGTCTTGTCGCTCCGACTTTCGTGGAGGATGATTGATTCCGCCTTATCACACTCTGACTGGGACCACACGGCGAGAACGCTGAGCACGTTGGAAGACGACGAGCTCCAGACCCCGCCACCCACCAAAAGACATGGTGGAGGACCAAAGAACCTCATGCCCAGATAAACGATGGCTTGGCGGACGCAGCGCACCCATGGAGATATGATGAAGGTTTTGTGGTTGTTGTTGTCATGTTGCTGTTATGAATGCTTCGAAATAATTATCGTTCTGGTCTCTAACGTCCATACTGTCGAACTGGCGCGGACGCCTTCCGTGGCCGCACGCTAACAACCCCAAAGGGTACCAATTTAACGAAAAACCAAAGAGACCAAACGGGCCCCGGACCCTACATAGATAAATCAACACACGTATGATCGACCACAGAACGTCCGAAAACAGTTACCGAAGAAACGTGCTTGTCTGACTGGCCACCAGTCTGCCCGGTTCAGGTAGTCCGTATTCTTGTCTAGCAAACAACAACAAACTCCTTAAAGGGGACAGGTACTGTAGTGCGGAGGTGGTCTTCAAACTAGGTCGCATATCTACATTGCATGTCCCCAACGCCCGTCGAGGACGCTCAATCCGGAAACAACCTGACTCGTACACGCAGCGGCCGCCACTGAGTGCCACTGGGAGCAATATGTAGTGTGCTCACAGGTTTGAAAGCAATTCCCTTTGCCGACGTAGAGATTGGACGCATTTGACCCTCGAGCAGCTGTACTGTTGCTTCCACCGGCGAAGAACAGGTCGTTGGAGAGCAAGCCGTCAGACAGATATTGTAGATAGATGCAGATAATGAGATGTTTATTCATCTCCGCATGCATCGGGTCGTGCAGGGTTGTGTTCCAACAATGTAACGTGGTAAGAGGTCGAAGAGCTCCGAGAAACAACCCGCACACGCAGTGCACCGCCAACAAGGGGTGACTCCATGCTCCAACATCCTGGGATGTGTGGGCGTCTGAACATAGCTGTGGGTGCAAGTGGGCGGTGCATTTTGTTGGTTCACAGGGGACGGAGCCGAATATCTTGGATGTGTATTGTATGTGTGGTCCTTTCATCCAGCTCGTGGTTCGTAACGGAGGGAGGAGGCAGAGCAACCTATGGCTACACCAGACAAACTGAAGTGCCTCTCTATGCGTCCACCTATTGTGGCACCAACCTTCGTTCCAGGGAAACTTCCTCCAACAAGGACTCTCGACAGGGATCGGATTCATTTTGGGGCAAAGGGGGAAATTGGGGGGCACGCGCGCAGGAGAGGCAGGGGGGGACGGGGTCCGCGAGATCGTGGATCCAACTGGTAACGCCACCAAGGCCAGATTTTTTTCCGACCGTACAGCAGTACACCGCTGCTGCTGCGGGCCCGCCTGGGGCGCACAGCTCATAGTGATGGAATGTGGGACACGAGATCAAAAGGAGCTACTGTTCGCTTCTGGCATGCAACAGGACTTTCACCTTGGTGGGTGGTTCGCGCTTCCATGCGTAGTGTTCATGCTCTTGTTTGTCGAGAAAACCCAAGTCGTCGGAATGTATCGATGCCGCACGGCTGTTCACTGGTACCTGCTGCACAGTGGTACAAGCAGCAAGCCTTGTGTTGAATCCACGTCTCGGGCAAGCATTGCGCCCTAGACGACCGTCTCAACTACATCAGGTCCTCTTCTCTTTAACTCGATTATTGAACAGTCGATATGTTTACAGCTGCAGCAGTCAAATGTTGCGTCCCCTTCCGAGCAACTGGGCCTTGCGAAGTACGAACGTACATAGACTGTACATGTATATAGACTACCTAAGAGTTGAGTGCTCTCGAAATAGATTCGGTGTACCGTACTTCTCGGGTCACGATCGCGTCCGTGAATTGCGCTGCGTGAAGCCTTCAACCCGAACAGAGTGGAGACACACCGCTACTACTGCTGTTGTCCAGCAGTACACTCCAGCATCGACGTGCTTTGAGTGCTGCATCATGACGTCGGTAATTAATTGCGGTCCAGCAGTAAACATGACGTTGATACACAACAGCTTGTCTTCGCAGTGCCGCCAGTCAGCAAGCATCGTACATTTGTTCTGACCTATGTAGCGCACGGTGTCCTCCAGATACGATGATCCGTTTGCTGTCTGTGCAACTCGGCACCCTCTGCGGAAATGCAAGGTCTCGTCTTCCGGAGAGCACACAGTCCGGTGTGGAACAGCAAGAACAGCTGCACTGCCGTGCATATCACTCTCTCGTCGCAAAGACTATCGTCTACACTGCCGTGCATATCACTCTCTCGTCGCATAGACTATCATATGCAGAAAGCAACCACGCCCTTCTTTTGTACATAGAACAGCGGTAGAGTATGGGCTACTGTAGGCCAAAAACCTCCATCGCATGCGCGCGGGAGCAACATATACATATATGAACAGACTCCAATATTTAGTCGGCACACAATCTACACGTGGACTATTGTGGACTCCCTTATCCACGCAACACAATAAAAGCCCCAAGGTTGTAGTGGTCTAGGGGTACATTACTTCAACCACGAGGCGGCTCATGACACCTCAAGGAGTCTCATGAGACGCCCCATGACGGCCCATGTGACGTCTATTGGTCTATGAATGGTACGTGTGAGAGGCCTCATGAGGATTCTCGTGAGACCCCACGAGGCGTTTTTTGAGACGTCTCATGGGAGGTCCCGCGAGGCACCTCATGACACCTCATGGCACCTCATGATACCTCATGGCACCTCATGATACCTCATGACACCTCATGAACCTCCTGGCACCTTATGGCACCTCATAACACCTCATGGCACCTTATCACTGCTCATGGCACCTCGTGACACCTCATGACACTTGGTGACACTTCATCGTACGTCATGGTGCCTCATCACAATTTTTTGCACCTTTTTACAGCTCATGGTACCTCGTGACACCTCATCGTACCTCGTGACAGTTCGTGACACCCATCGACACCTTTTGACAGCTCATGGCACGTCATGATAGCTCATGGGTTCTCATGACACCTCTGACACCTCATACTGTAGCACCTCATCGCACCTCATGGCACGTCACGATACCCCATGGCACCTCATGGCACCGTTAGCAGTTCATGGTACCTCAGGACAGCTCATGGTACCTCATGACACCTCATCGTACCTCGCGACACCTCATCACACACTTTGGCACCTTTGACAGCTCATGGCACGCCGTGATAGCTCCTGGGATCTCATGACACCTCATGACACCTTATGACACCTTCTGGCACCATGTGGCCACGTTTGGTAGCTCATGGCACCTTATGACAGTTCATGAAACCTAATTACACGTGTTATTTCATACACAAAACATATTCATTCGAAAACGAAAACAAAAATGACTGTTGATCCCCGCTCACGTCAAACGTTGACGCCAGGCGACGTAGAAGAGTGAATTCGTTAGGTTTCGTAGTACGTATTCCCCCAGAACAGAGAAGAATACAACATTGAAAACAGATGCCTACAAAACCAGCTTCGCCTCTTGTCCCGCTAGGGCTAGCTCGTCGGACTAGTCAGCGGGTCAGCGACATGAGTGCCACTCGAATATTTCATACATCACAACAATTTTGGACCACACGCCCTCCTGTGGGCCAAAACTACCGTGGGGTCGTGGAGTTTGGAACTACAAACCATTCTTATGGTAGGATGCGGTGGCACCTGCATAGTGTGGCTGATTCCGTGTCAGCATCTGGTTGCCGAAGGCTAACAGGCTTCGTCCGTCTCTAGCTATGCCTGCGGCGTGTTAAGTCCGTGGTTGGATTTTGAGAGAAAACAGCAGTCAACCGTTCTTCAACATCACGACTGCATATAGACGAACATACAACCTAGGGCAATGTTCGTTGTTGTCTTGCATATTTCATCATTGCCCCCCATTCGCCCCCCCACGTCATGATATCTAGTCACCGGGACTACAATAGTCTACAGAGATGGAATGTCATAAGCATCAATAAATTCACGAAAAAACAATAATTAGCAATAGCCACTGCCACGTCACTGGTTCCCTGTACGGCTTCTCTCAATAGGGAGGGTTCCTGTAGCAGCGGAGCAGGACTTGAAAGACTATGACCCATCGGCGCCGATACATCGCGGCTGGGACTCCTACCGTTATGCGCCGGAAGAAATCGATGCTAGGGCGGGGGCGGGGGCGGGGGCGGAGACTGCGCTCGAGCGCGCTATGCGCCTGAGGCAAGAGTTTCTGGATGCGTTGAAGGAATGCGGCGCGAGCGCTGCCCAGGGCATCTCGTCGTTCGAAGGGAGCGATGAAAATCAGGTGCAGACAGACGCAGGAGGAATAGTGCGTGGTGTTTGCTCCAGAGAGAGAATGATACGTCACGCGCCAATGATGGCGTGCTTTAAGACTCGTGAGCATCGAAGTCAGTCCGCCAAGGCGAACGTGTGTCTCAATCGCAAGTCCAGTCTACTTTAATCCAGGCAGCACCTCGCGTTGACTAGACTGATGCTGTACATGAACGGCGTAGGAGTTCCTGGCCATGGTTTGTCGCAATGGTTGGGTAGAGCAGAGCGTACACGATATCGTGTTTTGCAACAGCGAGCGGTGGTTGAGCGGCAGCCGGGACGATGCACTGCAGACAGCACCCGTCGAAATTCAGAGCCCATCCACCCTTGTCGTGCACAGGCGCTCAGGAGCAGCGCTCCTCTCGAAACCCATCGCCAGCAATCCGACAGAGACGTGCGCGAAACCGGTGAGCAGGGGCGACGAGAGCGCCGCAGCGCGGCGGCGAGTACGGCGACACCGTTCGGCAAGGCCGAAGGTGGCGGGGCCCGGGGAGAGAATCTGCAGTATTCTTCGGCGAAGGAATCGAGTAGAAACGAGCATGCGGCGTTCGGTCGGGTCGCGGGGGCTCCGCACAATCTGGCCGAGGTGTCATCGTCGCTCGGGCCAGCAGAAGCTCGCGCTGAAACAGAGCAAGCACGGTGGGAAGGGGAGAAAGAGAAGGGCTCCCAACGCCAAGTTCCGCGTCGGGGGGAAGTGGCATACGAGAACGACGCCACCCGCCTCCAGATAGAACAAGGGCGCCAGGGCGAGGGCGCAGATCACTACCGCATGGCCACGAGGCAGCAACAAGTTTTTCCCGGCGGTGAGAAAAGGCAAGGGGCCACGATGGTTGCGGTGGCGGCGGTCGAGGAGGAGGGAATGCGAGCTCAAAGGCCAGATGCAAAACGTGTCGTACTTGGGGGAGCAGGAAGAGAGCCAGAAGAAAGGGGATCGGCGGAAACGAACCGGGCCGACGGCATGGTGATAGACGGGGAAGACGACGGGATGGAGATCGACAGGCCCGCCCGCAGCGGGGAAGCCCGCCCGGGGGGCATTCAGCGTAGAGTTGCCGACGTCGATTTTGAGACGACAGACGGACATTGGCCAGGGGAGCGTTCTCTGTCGAGACGGCGACGGCGGCAGGACGCCGGCGGTGAGGTTGTACCAGTTGAGGGGGGTGCGGAGGCAGCTCCCGGCCAGAACCAGGGGGCTGGGGTCGAGGTCGGGAACACCGGCGTGTGGGAACACATGGAAGGAGAAGGTGAGGGTATGGGGGAGTGACTGACGGTGGCGAAGCAGGTAATCGCCTGGATTAAGAACATCGGCGAGTGAAACAAGCCAGTGAAAAAAATCCGGCATTTTCACTGGCCCGTTGTACATGAATGCGCAGGTTCTATAACGCCGATGCGGTGTGTACGCGGTCCAACATCGTGATACCTCTAGAGTAGAGGTTTCCCCTTGCCCGTAGTCTCGATCGTCTAACCCTGAGCTCCCTGTGACCCGCCCCGCGTCTGCTTCCATCGTAACCCTGTTGCGTTCCTTCGTCGCACCGCAGACGGCACTCCAACGGGCGGGACCATCATGAAAGTCATGATAGCTGGCATTGAGGTGTCGGTCCCCTTGCCGCCAGAGGCCTTTTGCGCCTGGAAACAGCGATCCTCGCCGGCGGGGCTGCCCGGGGCTGAGGATGGCGAAAGCGACGACAGGGGCAGCAGCAGCAGCAGGACCCAAGCCGCCGCCACCGCCACCACCGACCGTCGACCAGTCGCGTTCACCACCAACAGCGAATCCGAGGCAACACGAGGAGTAGCCCCCGGCGCCGCAAGCCTTGGCCGCGACGATCGTACCCGTTCTTCTTCTACGCCGCGGGCCTTTTCCTCCGCCAATGCAGTCGAAGGTATCGCTAAGGTCGGTGCGTCTGAGGACGACCAGCAACGGCCAGACGCTGACACCACGAGACCGTTCGCTCCAGGAGAAGATGATTATGACAATGTTGGCGCTGGCGGGGTGCTGTCGGCGGGAGACAATATCAACGCCGGCGGCTCGGGCCCGGCACTAGCGTTGGGGAGTTACGACAAGACTTTCTCTGTGGGAGACGAGGGCGACGCCAACACCGGCGGAGAGAATCACCAGCGGCGACGCTCCTCTTGGCAGGCGGCGGCCGCGGCAACGTCGACTAAACCTGCGACTGCTGCTGTACAGGAGGTCCGTCAGATCGAGGATGGTACCCGCTCACGACGAAGCAGCCAGAGACATGTGCAACTAGGTTCGGCGCCCTTGGACGAAGCGCTCGCAGACCGGCCGGGCAAGTTGCACGGCCACCATTACACGGTAGGCCCGACATCCGGAGACTCAGCAAACGTTGCCGAGACAGTGGATGGTAACACAGCGAGGAACACACCGGTAACGACTGCGACGGGAGCGGCAGGGGCTACCGGAGAAGTAGCAGGAGGAGGGACGTCAGCCAATGCGGATGGCAAAGGCGGCAACGAAGTATATTTCGCGTCTTCATCGGAGGAAGAAAACGAAAACAAAGACGAAGACGCAGGTGCCGTAGCCAAAGAAAACACCCACCTCCCGACAGACGAAGCCGAAGGAAGGAGCCCCGGAGACAGCAGCGCGGATGGTGGTGTGTTCGACAACTCTAGGCGGAGCTTTGGGACGTGGGGTAGCAGGAGCCGGATAGAAGAGGATCAGGCGGCCGCGGCCGCTGCTTCAGCGTTCGCTGGAGGGGTGGGCTGGCGGAAGCTTCGGCGCGATACCGTAACGGCTTTGGTGCGGCAGCTCGGAAGGTGCCTGTAGTGGTCTACGGCCGGGTCTTAGTTTGAGGGGCCCGTGTACGGGTCGCAATTTAGGTTTTCTGTTGGCATGACCGGAACAGTGACGCGTGGAGTGGAGAAGGTTTGGCCGTTGTACCTTGCTGGTGTGAGCAATATATCGATGTTATTTGAGCTGGATTATCCGACTCATGTTATGAGGTAAAACAAAATTCAGTCCATTGTTCTCTGTCCCACGCATCCACTTTCCAACGATTTCCACGCCTGGCAAAGCAGGAGGCGCCAGAGCACAACTCTTTCGCCTCCGAATAAACAATGACTCGCGTGATGTTTGGTATGAGCTGTTCTGTAGACTTGAGCAGGGGCTTATCATCGCCGAAGCACGTTCTGTCTCTTTTTGAACGACGGCCAAAAGGGTTACTCACCCATCATTCCCCGACAGTCACCACTCCCCTCTTCCCTCGCACCCGATGCTGCTTTTCACGAACGATAGAGCCACCGCGGAACGCGACAGGACATTGCAACAGGTGAGCCTGGTATTGCGAGAACGAGGTTACTCATCTTGCGAGCGAACCACAAGAAACCACGCGCTCCACATCGGGCTTCGTCTAATGCACCACAGGAAGACTGTTTCATGCCTTTGCTTGCCGCGGTTTAGGTTATGAAACCGGTAGTCAGCTGCTGTGACTCGGTCGAGCGGTGGTACTGCGAGAGTGTTTGCCGCCCCATCAACTTGAAAACATGGCATCGGTCAACCGCCGGCGGCAGGCAACACCTGAGTGCACCCCCCCCCCCCTCAATCTGCCTCGGCTCGAACCCCTTCAATAAATCCCCCCTGTAAAGTCCTGGCCCCGTACAGACAAGGATGGCGAAGACGGCTACCTCCCACCGTCGCCCCCGCTCCGGCAGCGACTTGACCACCACCACCGGCGGCAGTCAACACCGGCACCGTCGCCGGTAGCGGCCGCCACTGCCCCAGCCTCTTACCATGACGCCGAAGGCGGCAGCGGTGCCTCCCTGGGCGAAGAGTTCTACGGCGGCGGCCGCCGTCGTCATAGTGAAAGCAGTCGGCGGCGGAAGAGTGACGGCAGCAGGGGAATTGTCGACAACAGCGGCGGCGGCGGCGGCGGGAGGAAAGCGGGGGAAGACATTGGCAAAGTGCGCCTCGAGGCGATCCAGGCGGCAGGTGGAATGCCGTTCGGGTTTCCAGTAGACGACGGGTGTGGCGGTGATAGCGATGGCGGTTGTGGCGGCGTTGGAAAAGGTGGTGGCGGTGGCGGCCGCGGTGAAAAAGGCACTGGGGACCGGACCGCGGTGGGTACGGCTACAACATCGGCAACAGCGATAGCGCACGCGGGAAAGCCAGGAGGACAGGAAAACACACCGCCGGAACCGCGGCGGCAGGCATCAGAGACAAGGATAGCAGGGTTTGACTCCGAGGTAAGGCCTATCTCCATTTCGTCTCCGGTCGTGGGGCCGCGGGGAGAAAGGAACGGCCCCGGACACCCTGCCACGACGTCCGCGGCTGGGTCAGGGACGCGGCCAGGGGCGGGAGGTTCGGGTTGTATCCCTCCGGGTGGGCAGCTGGGTTCGTCGAGGGTTGAAGCGGCGCGGTTTAGCGTGATTTCTATTCCGTCCCCCGCTGGCCAGTTCGGTTGCTCTCCGATGCCGAGGAGCATTCGTCAAGCGGCGTTACTCATGCGGGGTGCCATCAGGTGCGTTGTTCGTTCCATCTGTTGAGGTAGAGGGAGGAGACACACGTAGTGCCCACAAGACATGGTACAGTGTAGAAGATGAGGGACGAGACGTTCACGAAAAGAAGTTTGGAGGATTGCTGTGTCGCACGCCCGGAACTTCTTACGACGGCATGGCGCGCGATGTGTCTGCTACGTACGACTGAAGTACTCCTGAATGTTGTGGGAAGGCTCCAAAGAGTCGCGGCGGGGTTTCGAATAGTAGCGAGAGCAAAAAGCTATTTCTTGGGACGCCGTTAACAGAGTCATCCTTCGTAGAAAACGATTCGCCTCAAACCCCCTTGCGGCAAGCTCGTGACAGAGTAGCGTACCAGTACAGGTCAAGCGCTTGTCAAACTGCATGGTTGATTTGCACGTCTTCACGGTGTACGCAAGAAGCCCCCCCCCCCCCCCCCCCCCGGTGTTTGCCATCGGGGTTGGGTTTTCGTCGCTTGGCAACGACGTTGTAAAACAAGCCATTTCACTTCGTGAACTCGGCAACCAGGTTACCGTTTTTCTTTTTTTTCCTGTTTTTTTTTTGGCGGTAACCATAATGGTGGTGGAGTAGATCATGTTGTGCGGTGTCGAGAACCCTCACTCTGCGCAAGGGGGATGGTCGCACCACGTTATGTTAAAATGGTCAAGCATCCTGGAGGCAGTTACACAGCAGTGCTTATAACTGTCTCTGGAAGTGAAAGCACCAGAAAAAAAATCAAGTCATACGTAGCTGTCATCCGTACGTCAGGAAGTAAGCACAAGATGCCGAACACCCTTAGCAGGATGCAGCGCACCCTTCATGCGACTCGCCGAATACCTCACGGCGCTTCGCGCTTGGTGATGTGAGAGCCTGGTCCGGTGAGAACTCGGCGTGCTCCGTCCCGGCTTTGTAGGGATGCGAAGTCAATGGTCTAACGACTACGGCATGCACGGCTATGAGTACACCCCCACCCCCCCCGTGGGCGAAAGCCCCGACGGTTTTAAGTGAGATCTACGTTGCGCATGGCACGACCAAGCAATAACGAGTATGCGCTCCCCTCTGAAATCGCCTCGCGTGCGACCCGTTGCGTGCAGCACCAACGCTACAGCCAACGAAGAAACTTTACGCGCAAACACACAGATCATGAACCTTCAAAAGCATTCCCTGATTTCAGCCGCAGTACGGCCGGGATATTTTCATTGGTTAGCCGGTTCGCGCGGTCGATGCTATTGAAACAAGAACGCAAACACTCACACATGCACACCTAAGAACGTTAGTAAAGCACACACACACAGATCGCCCCTCGCCCCTGCTTCCGTCCGCTCCCACCAGGTCGCTCGTCCGTCTAGTGTTGCTCAATGCATGGAAGAGGTGGACACAGAACGAGCTGCCGCCCCTCTTGCCTCCGAAGGGACCAGCGGAACCTCCGTCCGAAACCACCGACCAAAGCCGCAGCGAGCGGCGGAGGCACGCAGGCGAGGCAGGCCTAGGCGTAAGTGTAGGGGAAGCCGGGGGGAAGGAGGGAGGCGGCGGGAACGTGGATGCTCCCGCGGAGGAGGTGGACGCGGGGGCGGAAGAGGACGAGGCCAAAGAGGGCGTGTGGAGGCGAAGACAGGCCCTTCTTCGTAAGTAGCCGTTCGTGTTGAGGGTCTCAAGAGAACGTGGTAACTCAGGCTACGAGGGTCAAGCTGGCTCACGTAGTTGATCGAAACTAGGAGTCAACGGTAGCGGCCAGTTGCCCCGGCGGAAAAAATCGCCAATTCCCCCAAATCGTAGTGTATAGGTTAGCCAAAGCTCAGGAGTCACTCTACTGAGAGGTCAAGGGTGGGGACATGAAGCGGGAGTTCTCGATCTGAATGTGTCGTCCTGCGACTTTTGGACTTGACGCCCGCCGGTACCAGACCACGATGCAACGACAAAGTGACAACGTTCTTTCGTCTTTCCGTTTCTCTCCAGTTGCTCCCGCGGTCTCCGCCTGAGCACTTGACGCAACTGTTTCCGCCGCATCGGCGCAAAACGGCAACGTGCCGAGTTGTTTGCTGTATAGTCTGCATTCATTCGGTACGCAACACGCCGAAAATGTTGCAGTGGCTGAGGCCCACAGCACCGGCCTCTGTTGTCTTGAATTGGATAGCCAGTTTACAGCTGACCCCCAACTGTTGAGCCAGCGAGCACTCTGTCAATGGCGTCCCCATTCTCGTTAACCATGAGAAAACCCCCCCCGAGCCCTCTCTACGCCCTGTCCTACTCGAATCGCTGCTGTCGATCTCCTGGGATGTGCGTGTGTTTTCACCATTTCCATCGACCACGCTAACCGGCTTGTGTGTGTGTGTGTGTGTGTGTGTATTTCCACGGTGCACATGCAGTGTCCTTCGTCGACGGCCCAAATGGAGAAGATGAAGAGGGGGTCACCGCTGAAACCGCCACCGCTCCCGTCGATGGTTCTGCTAACCCCGGTTCTGACCGGTTCGGAACAGCGCCGGGTGGTGGGAGCGGAGGAGTCGCTTTGCCTGACGACAACCGGCCGGGAAATGGCGAGAGCGAACCGAGGGCAGCGAAACCGGGCGTTCCGGCGAAGGGCGACACGGCCGCCGAACCACCGCCGGCGTGGCGGGAGACGGAGGAGAAAGGAGAGGACGAAAGGGGGGGTCGCGAGAGGGTCCGGGGGACGGATGAGAGGCAGAGGAATAAGGAGAATGACGTTCCGCTGTTGGTGACGACTGAACGGTTAACGCAGGAGGTGGCGCAGGTGATGAGCACGGGAGGGGGATGCCTCGGGGTAACCTGTCTTGAAGTAGCGCCGACCTGGCAAGATCAGTGCGCCCGCATGCCGGAATGCGGCACAGACAATTCGAACCGGTGCATATCATTATTGCTTTTATTAAGTTTTCTCACTGGGAGTGTTACTGTTGGGGGTGTGCGGCATCTTGTGTCGCCCGTTTCCTTGATCTTAGGGTAGGTTTTTGGTTTGGGCACATGCTGACCCGGAAAAATACTTCCGTCGTGGGTGGTGCAGTGGGGGAGGTGTTGTTCTTAACGGGTTAATTCTTGTGTACTCGACTGTGTCAGTAATCCCGCGGGTAGCTTCCGCGCCGTGACACCGCCGCAAGAAGAGCTGTGGGTTGTGCTTTACCCCTATCGCCCGCTGCCACTCGCTAAACAGCGTCGTGATGGCGCTTACCACTGCTGTCGGGAATCGAGACGTATGTCCGCTGCTCTGTGATGCTTCCTCCCACGCCCCACCGCCACCTGCCCATCCGTGTTTCGGTGTTGTCCTGTCCGTCTCCTACTAGCAGTGCTCCGAACCCATAAGCCATTGGGACAAGCGGGAGCGAACGCCAGAACAGCAACCTACCCATCGATTCGCTCCTGCGGCTGCTGCTGTTGCGATTGCCGACCCTACCGTTGCACCGTTGCTGTCTCCGCGGAGCCCGGAGAGCGGCGCCGACCGCACCTCCGCCGTACCGACCCCGGGCAGCCGGCGCTCGCGCAACTCGATGCAGCGCCAGACTTTCTCCGTGTCCTCCCGCTCGTCCTCTCTGGAAGAATGGGGGGGTGGCTACCGCAGCGCCCCCCGGCGCCACCCTTCCCCCCCGTGCGAGAGCGCGTTCCCCTCCCCGCCTCTTTCTCCGTTCGTTCGCCGCCGGCGGCGGCGGCATCCGATGGCCGATCGCCGGCTGACCTACGATCAACCGACAAACTACCATCATCCGCAGCACGCTCTTTCCGCGGCAGAGGCGGCGTACGCAGATCCCACCGGTGATGCCGCTTCTCCGGTCGTCGTCGATGCCGCCGCCGCTCACCACGGCGGAACGTCTCCTTCCATCCACGGGTACGGCTACCGCAGCCCGTTTCTGGGCGTGAGCGACGACGACGACGGGAGCACCAGCTACGGTGGTCCGCGAGGGAGGCATTGTTCGAGCTCCGCTGCTGCGTCCGGGGCGGCGGCAGTCGCGGCGACGGCAGCAAGGGAGGCCCTGGAGGGGTGGACGAGGCCGGTGCTCGAGGGCGGCAGCGCGCGACTAGCGGAAGGTGAGGCGTATCAACGAGGGGGGGGGGAGGGGGGGTACTCATAGCCGTGCATGCCGTAGTCGTTAGACCATTGATCTCGCATCCCTACAAAGCCGGGACGGAGCACGCCGGGTTCTCACCGGACCAGGCTCTCACATCACCAAGCGCGAAGCGCCGTTAGGTATTCGGAGGGTCGCATGAAGGGTGCGCTGTATCCTGCTAAGGGTGTTCGGCGTCTTATGCTTATTTCCTTGCGTACGGATGACAGCTATGTATGACTTATTTTATTTTCTGGTGCTTTCACTTCCAGAGACAGTTGCAAGCACTGTGTAACTGCCTCGAGGATGCTTGACCATTTTAACACAACGTGGTGCGATCGTCCCCCTTGCGCGGGGTGAGGGTTCTCCACTCCGCACAACATGATCTACTCCACCACCATTATGGTTACCGCCAAAAAAAAAAACAGAGGTAAAAAAAAAAACAGTAACCTGGTTGCCGAGTTCACGAAGTGAATTGACTTGTTTTACAACGTCGTTGCCAAGCGACGAAAACCCAACCCCGATGGCAAACACCGGGGGGGGGCGTATCAACGAGGGGGGGGGGGGGGGGGGGGGGGGACCAAACCACGATGGCAGTCATCCGGCGGGGGGG